TGATGATGCTTCCCCTTCACTAGCCAACATGATTTTCTAGTGGAAAAGTTGAATGAAACTTCTAATCATTGGAAAACCTTAGGCCAGCTGTCCTATTCTAAGCGCAAAAATTCCTTCATGTAGGGTTGTAGGGACAGAAATGAAAAGGGACATTTGTTTCCACACATGAAATTATTCATAGCGATGATCCTTTACAAGAACGAACCCACACTGTTTCAGGTATCTGAACACACCCTGAATTTAAATGAGATATTTATTTGAATTACCATGACAGACTTTTCAAAAACTTTCCCCTTATTTAGGAGCCTTTCCTTCCTCAAAAAAAAAGTTGGAGAGAGAAGGCCCTATGTAGGTCAGAAGATATTTCCTACAGCCATTGAGGAGAGTTACCTACATATTTATTTTTATATATACAAAAGTGAACATTTGCTGAATTTTGCTGATGCTTCAAGAGTGTGCTTGTTTCAGATACATTGTATCTTTGTTTACTTACCTAGATGAAGCTTGCCTCAAATGAGTATTAGGAAAAGCTTTGTGTATCATTTTGGTAAGACTTAAGATGCTATTGTCTAAGAATATATTAGTTCATACTTTAAGACTCTCCGTAAAAATGTGCATCTACATTTTAAGAATGGAAATTATAAAATACAATGTAATCAAATTATCTAATTACACATTGTAGTTTTTAAAATGTATTTTCAATAGAGATGCTATTTTGTGATGTGAGTTTTGCAAAACACCAACAAAACAAACAAAAACTAAAGCGACAAACCACCTAATCCCAAGTTATAGGCAATCACTTTCAGAAAAGCCAATTTTATTTTAGAGTTCTGGTTAGATGCATACTAACCAGGCACGATAATATAGACTGCCTCCACAAGCACCTGCAAACCATTTGAGACTGAACAGCTGTGTGCATTTGTATGGGAAACACTTGTAACATTATGATACATGAGCGATGGCATCTCTAGGGAGAAAAGAGCAGAACAATTTCTTATTGATTCTGACCAGCGTGCACTGAGAATCTCCAGGTCTTTGGATTTCTGAAAAATTTTCGAAGTTAACTATCTCACAGATTGCCTGGGAAAGCTGTTTGGTAAATGCCACATGGCGATAAGCAAATATTTTGGGGAAATGATTTTGCAGTTAATTGTCTTAGGGAGTTTGCTAATTTGGTCAGGCCCACTATATGTTCCCCTAGCCTTTTTATTATAAAGAAGTGTGTTCTGCCAGGGTGCCATTTCTAGAGGCTTCACCACATTCTATGAGATGCCTACACTTCACCTTCATGAAATGAGGGACGATGCATGCAGGCAGACAGTGCAGTCATTGTGAGCATTGTCACACCTTCACTGAGCTGTTTTGGAGAGTACATATCAATTTGCACTGAGGATGTACACTCCCAACGACTTTTCAAGCATGTCTGTACTGAGCACTAACAATACCAGAATCCCCTACCTTTTCAATCCATAAAAATGATAAGGCCAATTGTTCTTAAAGAGCTTCCCATTGTTTTACTAATCTATCTTTATTATTTCCCATTTCTTCTGTCAACTCTCTAAAATTCTGATCCCCAGAATAACCACAGTGTGTGTTTAAAGTATATATTCCTGCATGAAATGAATAATAGTAGACAAAAAGTTGAAAGAAGGTACCTGCATCTTAACAAGTTCAATGTACACAAAAATTGGAGAATGTCCTTTGAGTATAAAAGCAATAACATAAAGCTCAAAGTCAAGTTTTTTTTTCAAAATTGTTCCTATCTTTTTTTTTCCTATTCTGGAGTTTTTTTTTCATTTTGTTTCAATAGCTCTGTCTCTAGTCCATCTATGTCTACCAAAATTTGGTATCCTTCAAGGCCCTTGTATCTGAATCACAAATACAAGTAAGTTTATTGAAAATCTAGCCCAAAAGATAACTTATTGTTTGTATCCCTTTATGTTTCTCATATATTACAATCTTTTGTAAACAATTTGACAAACCTCCATTTCTTGACTGTTGTTTAAAACTTAGGGTTCATTTATAGTGGAAATCAAGTACTTTTATATTGATGCATGATTAAAACAGTAGTGAAAGTATTAACTTGCTTTTGAATGGCACTCTAAAGCAGTAAAAGAAATTATTTCAAATTACATTTAGCCCAAATACAGCTATCAGTGTCTTGGGTATTTGCCAGTCTGTGTTTGTGTTTCCCAAACTCTTTTCTTTTAGAGGATAAGCCACTATCCCACGAAGCTCCATTTTACACATTAATTCTTGAATATTTTGACTTTGTAGAAGTGATGAGGCGATCATAAGTTATACTGCAGTGGGAAAACTGTATGCATTTCCTGTTCTTGGTGCTGACAGGGCTGTGGGGATTTTCCTCAGCTTTTCTGAATGTTCACCTTGTGTCTCAGACCAGACATGAGCATTTGGACAAGAAGAGGGGATTTTTTTTTTTTACAGGAAAGTTATGAGCTTCCAAGCTTACATAAAATAAACTAACGTCCAAGATAATCACATCCTTCTGGCCCTTTTCACTTTTTGCCGTCCTTCTCAAAATTTTCTCTTTGAGTGTGTGCCCTATCCACTGCTTCACAGGATTAATAGCCTGTGAAAGTAAAGGAGGAAACCAACCTTATGGGGTCTGGTAGAAAGAGCAAGGGTGGAGTGGAAAATAAACCAGTCCCCAGGGCCTCACCCGAGGATTGGCTGTGATTTGTGTGTAGGTGGCTACCTACGTGGTATGACTTTTAAGGGACCAAAAAGCCTTCCTTTAGTAAAAGAAAGAGAAAGCTATTTCCTATTTGTTGACTGGGACCTAATCTTCCTACTTCATAAGGATAAGCTATCTGCCCTGTGGAAAGCATTTAGGCTGGAAATGTCAGACTTCCTCCTTTAGGAACTATGTTCAAGAACTCAAACCTGACAACTTTCTCAAAGGAATGTCGTCACCTTAACACACTCATGATTTCTGGAGTATATGTCTCAAAGATTTGTATAGCATTTGCTTTTCAGCTCATTTACTGTATCAGCATGCCCTTGTCTTTTTGTTTGGTATGTTTTCTCTTCTATGGTTATTTGTGGTTCATTTATATTTGGGGTCCCTTTTTCCATTTTTTCCAAACTCTATAGGATTTTATTTTAAACAGCAAAGAATAATGGAGAAAACTCCAAGGCAGAGATTTTCAACCCCCTTGGGGGTCAAATGACTTTTTCATAGGCACTGAATATCAGATATCCTACATATCACATATTTAGATTACAATTCATAACAGTAACAAAATTGCAGTTATGAAATAGCAACAAAAATAATTTTATAGCTGGAGGCTCACCAAAACATGAGGAACTGAATTAAAGGGTTGCAGAATTAACAAAGTTGAGGACCACTGCTTTAGAGACAGACACTGATGTCTTCAGCTATTCCAGAAAGAGTGGTCATGGAAAATGACTTAATGTTTAAGGTTTAAAATATTAAATCCTACCACTACCAACAAAATATATACTGCTCAGTAATTACACTTAAATTTTTGTAAGGGAAAGCCCAGATACACAGAGGAGGGTCTAGGCCCTCCCCCAAATGATGTGACAGACTTTGATGATTGCCCAGGGAAGGCCTCAACCTCCCTGGGCAGTGGATTGGGGATGAAATTGGGGGGGTATGTGAAGGGTATGGGAGGATGGGAGGGAGAGGAACCTGGGATTGATATGTAAAATAAGATTGTTTCTAAATTAAATAAATTTAAAAAAGAAAATTGTACCCCAAGGTCATGGCATTAATCTAAAATATGAAGATCTTATCATTCTTGTATTTTAAATGGCAGTTGATGATTTTATATTAGGTTTTAAGGGAAGTAAAGGAGGGAAGTACACAACACAGAATATTGCCATTTTAAAAGACCTTCAGTTTCCTCTAGTGACAGCTTTGCCTTTGCTGGACTGAACATCATTTTCTGGATCTTGGTGGCATGGCCTCTCTGATATGCCAAAAGAAAGGGAGTCTATGTCTTCATCTAATACCATTATTTCTATGATTTCAGAGTGAGTACTACCAACTAAACAAGACTTCAGATGAACATACTTCAGAAAATAAGCCTGCAGTGACTGGCCCCTATAGGCTCATATGTTTGAATGCTTGGTACCCAGTTAGTGAAACTTGGAAGGGTTAAGAGTTGTGGTGTTGTTTGGGAAATGTGTCACTGGGGCAAGCTTTAACACTTCAAAAGCCTTCAGCCATTCCCAGTACTCTCTCTGTCTGTGTCTCTTGATTTCTGTTTTAAAATATGAGTTGTCAGCTGTTTCTGCTGGAGTGCCTTCACTCTGGAATTATAAGTTCAATTAAATTATTTATTTTATAAGTTGCACTAGCCATTTTGTTTTATCACAATAGAACAATAACTACGGCAAAACCCCTAGTGTCCTTGGTTGGTGGCAACATGCCAGAAAACAGTATTGTGATCCTACACTCCTGTATAGCAGCATTAATTCATCTCTTGATTAGTAAAATCATATGAAGGTTTTTATTTGATCAGATCTTGGATCCCATAGTCATCTTTTGGTTTTCTGCAACTAAATTGACATTAATTAAAGTTAAAGATGTGGAGCTGTGTAAGGCTTACATGCCTATGGTTCTAGCACTTTGGGGTAGACACAAGAAGACTGTGACTATGAGAATAGTCTCGGGCACATAGACACTGCCTCAAAAAAAAAACAATAAAGATGAGTAGGTGCCTTGATTACCTTTCCACCCATAAGAGTTTTGGATGGAGTACACTCCCCTTGACTTAAGTAGAAGCATAGAGCAGTACATCATCACTAGTGTACTTCCTACCAACCATTACTCATTTATAATCCAGGAAAATTAGCCAAACAAAAATGATGACTCATTGCCCTGATCCATCTCCAAAGAAAGATACAGAAGTAAGATGAAGAGAATCCAAGATTAACCTTAAAACAAAGACTCTTGTTGCAAATACATTGTAACCAGTTTTCAAATACCCAGGTAATAACATACTCACTTGGATGCCATCCCACTCCAGGTCTGTAATAGGTACACCCAGATATAAAATATGTCATCAAATAAAACTGGAGATCTTCAGTGAAATTTTTGATAAATTTGTATGAGAAGTCATCCAACAAATGATCCATTAATGATAAACTGTGTCAGATGTGTCCTTTACAAATGACTCTTTTCTTCTCACAATTGATCTTTTAGGCAGGGCAGGGATGACGTTTCCTAAAGGATCACAGATGTCATCACAATTATTGCTTGGAGTCAGGCCAGGTCTTAGAATTTTATGCAAAGGGAATCTTTGACTGGAATTTTACATACTTCTGTATTGAATAATGTTCTGTTACTGAATAAATTTTCAATAGGTGGCAATGATTTTGATATTTGTACACTTTAGGTAACTCATCTTTCAGGGTATAATACAGCTTGGCACTGTGAATTAATAAGAGAGGATTATCAAGGCTACTCTTGTTTGGTTTTAAAACTAAATACATTACAACTTATTTTAATAAAGTCATGTTTGAATTTTAAAACTTCTAAGAAATCAAGAAAATGCCCTCTTCCCAATATTATACATGTGTTTATAGAATATGAACTTCTATTCCAAGCTCAAATTGGCTCAAATAACTAAGGATCTCTTCTACCCAAGATGAACAGCAAGAAAATAAGCAAATATGACTTTTTGTGTTTTTGAAGCAGCATACCCAGTAATACCCAACCAGATTTCAGAAGTGAACACATAATCCAAAAGAAGCACATTCATACAGCAAGGACATTTGTTCAATGATGTTCATCACAGAATTATTTGTAATATTCAGAACCTGGAAGCAACCTAGATGCCCCTCAACTGAAGAATGGATAGAGAAAATGTGGTTCATTTACACAATGGAGTACTACTCAGCAGGAAAAAAAACAATGGAATCTTGAAATTTGCAGGCAAATGGATGGAACAGAAGAAACCATCCTGAGGGAGGTAACCCAGTCACAAAAAGACAAACATGGTATGTACTCACTCATATGTGGATTTTAGACACAGAGCAAAGGATTACCAGCCTACAATCTACAATGCCAGAGAAGCTAGTAAACAAGGAGGACCCTAAGGGAGACATACTTGCTCCCCTGGGGAAGGGGAAAAGGACAAGATCTCCTGAGCAAATCAGAAGCATGGGAGGAGGGGGAGGGAACTAGGAGAATGAGAAAGGGAGAAGAGGAGGGGCGATGATGGGGCGGGGAGGTTGATATCAGGGAAGAACAGAAGGGAGCAAGATAAGAGATACTATAACAGAGGGAGACATTATAGATTTAAAGAGAAATCAGGCACTAGGTAAATGTCCGGAGAGCTACAAAGATGACACCAACTAACAGTCAAAACAACAGAAGAGAGGATACCTTAAATGCCCTGCCCTGATAATGAGATTGATGACTAACTTATATGCCATCCTATAGCCTTCATCCAGCAGCTGGTGGAAGTAGAAGCAGACACCCACACTAAACCTTGAACTGAACTGGGATCTGGTTGCAGAGAAGGAGGACTGATGAGCAAAGGGGTCCTTACAAGGCTGGTGAAACCCACAGAAACAGCTGCCCTGAACAAGGGAGAGTTCTTGGTTCCCATACTGATAGCTAGGAAACCATCATGGAACTGATTCAGACCCCTTGAATGTGAGTGTCAGTTAGGAGACCTCGGAAATCTATGGGGCCCCTTGTAGTGAGTGGATCAGTACTTATCCCTAGCATAGGAATGGACTTTGTGAGCCCATCTCACATGGAGGGATACTCCCTCAGCCTAGACACAAGGGGGTGGGCCTAAGCTCTATCCCAAAGGACATGACAGACTGTGAAGACCCGCCATGGAAGGCCTCACCCTCCCTGGGGAGCAGAAAGGGTTTAGGATAGGTATGGTGTTACTTGGGGAGGGCAGGGGAGGAGGAGAGGGAGAGGGACAAGTAAAATAATCTTTCTAATTCAGATAAAAATTATTAAAAAACCATATTATGTAGAATCTACAACTTTTCTACATAAGTAATATAAATATTTCACATGGTATATCGATGTGAAGAATCTTGTTTTGCTTTCAATGGTGGGAATTTTGTATCTTTACTACAATTTAAGGCACCCTCCTCACACACAGACTCTATGTGGGTTCTGATTTGGCTTTCTTTCATGTACTACTAGAGGGAACTGGAGCTCTAATGCCAAAACATCTTGGACCAGAAGGCCCTAGTCTTCACTAGCCGAAGTTAATCAACGTGTGTTCCTTCAATCCTTTTAGCTGAATAATTTCTGGCTATTAAATTGTCATTGTATGCATACAAAAGAAGTGAACATATATTCGTATTTTATCTGTTTACAGCATTTTGACATGTGTGATAGCCCCACTTCCCTTTTGTTTTGTTAAATAACATGACTTTCTTATTTTAGGGTGACATGTCTAAGTTGTTTTTTATCAGATTCAAGCTAAAATAGCTCCTTGCAATTTGCAAACCTTTCACATGTCTACACTGCAAAGGCTTGAAAATGCAATGTTAAAAACACTGTTCTATTTTCTTTTAGCCTGATCTCTTATTGCTACTCCTAGGCTTCCACCATGCAAAACTATGCTATCACGAATCATGATAGTGTGCATATTTGTGTCTCTGAATTTAGCTCAAATGTTGACTTCCTTTTTAAAATTATTCCATAGGATAAATATTTAATTCTATACAAATGTCCAATCAGAATGCAAACCAGAACTCCCAGATACCACAGTAAGCTTATGGAATTAATTTGGATTAAGGTGAGTTTTATATATAATTTAGGTACTCACTTCTCATTTGTTAATTTAGAGTTTTGGTCCCTTAAATACAAGCCATGGAAAGCTAAAGAAAGAAGAGATTATTAAACTAAAATGTGTAATTAAAATACAGTATTTTCAGTGAAGGCTATTATTTATATTTGTCTAATTTTAGACACCTATTTCATTGGAATGAAAATGACTAGTCATATTTTAAGACTCATTTAGGAGGATTTCCTTAAAATTTCTACCTCTATACTTTATAACATTTTAGTGACACTTCTAATTCACAGCAAACATTTGAATTCATGTAGCATCAATGTACTTACCAACTTAGGTATATATTAGATGAGAAAATATTGGGTACATTGGTCTTTAAGAATTTGGGCTACCATTAATTATTTTAGGGATTATGTCAGTGACCATGCAATTCCAGATTTGAGAAGTCTGGCTATATTTATTTTAAAATAAATAGTAGTCAGGTACACCTGTTACTTGTTCTTCAGTTGGTCCCTGATCAACAAATCTATCTCTATATCTTTCTAGCTATCATTTATATAAGCATTCACATATGGGATTACCAAAAAATTGAAAAGGAACCAACTCTAAGAGTAAATTTATTTATAATGGTGTCACTTCTCTTCCATACAGGTGTTATTTATCCCTCCATTTATTCCCTACACTACTCTCCATTTACTCATCCCAGTTTTGCCCTTCTTGTTCTGTTACTTCCTTTTCACCCTTTATAGCACTGCATTCTATATCCCCTCCCTTGGAAGTCTTTGAACTTAGAAGGCCACTGATACCCTTAATATCTGATTTGATATGGCTTTAGAAACATAAACCCTATCTTTTCTCTGTCATGCATTTCATCTAACTCTGCATTCAAAATGGTTTCTTAAGAGTTTTATTGTTTGCTGATTTGATTTATTTGTTTTCTGTTCAGTTGTTGATAATAGATCAATAAATGAAACTTCATGAAACAAAACAGTAGCTGTATAGCAAGTGAGTGATGAGACAGCCAATAGAACAGGAAAAAAAAATCTTACCAGTCATACATTCAACAGAGAGTTAGTATCAAGAATATATGAAACAAGAAACAAAACAGGAAACAAGAAGAAAACAAGTAACTCATTTTAAAAATTAGGTAATAGATCTAAATAGAGAGTTCTGAAAAGATCAAACAAAAGACTGAGAAACATTTTTAAAATGTTCAACATCCTTAGCCATTAGGAAAATGAAAGTTACATGCACTTCAAGTTTTCATCTCACCCTAGTCAGGATGGCTAACTTTAAGCTCACCAGAGAAGCTTCTTTTTCCAGTTGATAGTTTTGATACAGGGACTGATAACTGGTCAAAGTGCAAAGAATCAATAACTAGAGGATTCTCCGTCCTCAGCAAGACATTTATATCACACGTCCTCCTCCAAAGACCAAGGGAACTAACTATGCAGAACAAGGATTGAAAGATCATAAGAGCCAGACTTTGAGTATACAGAATGTCTGAAAAATACTTATCCTCTGGATGTAACAGGACAACTACACTCACGCACTCATAACAGCCATGTAGTTGTCAATGCAAGACCCGCACAAGATCAAGCCAATCACAATTCCAGCATGGATCAGAGTGAGGTCACCCAGCTGAGGAGCTATTTGTAATTGATGGCTGTGGAGTGAGGAAAGTCAATTTTCTTCAGTTTTGAAAGAGGAATATTGATATGGGGGAAGTTGGAGAGGCAAGTTGGTGTGGATATGATAAAAATATACGTATACATGTATGTAAATATTGAAGAACAAATAAAGATACTATAGTAATAAAATAAAAGACCTCTTTTCATTATGAAATAGACATATAAATTATCTAAAATCTATAATACAGAAATTTAACATTTAGCACACATACACACAAAATGTTGACAAATGTTGGCCCAGATGTGAGGAAAGGAGGACACTGATTCACTGCTGATGGGATTGCAAACTGGTCTATACAAATGAGTGTGAAGAAGTCTCAAAAAAGTTAAAAATAGTTCTATACATAATATATCTATACCATTCTTAGGCATCATATAGCCAAAGGACTCCATGTCCTACTATAGAGATGCCTGCTTGTCCATGTTTGTTGCTGTTGTATTCACAATCACTATGAAAAGGAGAGAGTCTAGAGATCTACCAACTGATGAATGGATAATAAAACTGTAGTATATTTACACATCTGAGTGCTAATGAATGGGAATCAAGATTCACTAGACTCAGTACAGGTTAAGTGAAGTTTATTCGGGGAGAATAAACAAGAGGCAGGTGACCACCGCGGGTTCGAGCTCCAAGGATCCTCCCAGGCTGTTCCCAGTGACCCGACTGGAAGCCAGAGAGCTCTGATGTCCTGGACCCCAGATCTAGTCCTCCCTCTGTCAAGTCCTCACCTGTGACTACACCCAAATGGGCATGGTCAGTGCTATAGGTGTGGGCAGGGTGAATATCACACTACAATTCCCCTTTTAGTTTAAAGAAAAAGATTTAGGCTTGATAAGAAACTATATACAAAGATATCAAATATCAAGTATGCTCTAGGAGAAGGAAAAGTAAGAACAACATACTTAAGACCTATTGCCAGTGATGCAACTAGAGCAAATGGCAACAACTACATATCCAGTCATAGGGTAAAGACATAACAGAGATTACAATAGAGTTATCCTAAGCTGGAAAGTTTTAATCTTGTAGCTAATATTTCTATCTAGGAAGAGAGAACAATAATTGTGACAGTCTAATCTTCAACCTTATCAAAGACCTGAGAAGGAGGGTAACAATACTAGGGTATCAGGAAGTGCAGGCGAGCAACTTCCAAAAGGTGTAGTGAAGACAGAAACAGCAGGCTACCGGGACACCAGGAAGACTATTATTCAGACTACAGACTATTATTCAGCTACTAAGAAAAATGAAACTATTAAATTTCAAGTAAATGGATGGAACTGGAAACCCCTAACCTTGATTAAAAGATTTATTATGGCCGGGAGGTGTTGGCACACACCTTTAATCCCAGCACTCGGGAGGCAGGGGCAGGCGGATCTCTGTGAGTTCGAGACCAGCCTGGTCTACAAGAGCTAGTTCCAAGACAGCCTCCAAAAGCCACAGAGAAACCCTGTCTCAAAAAACAACAAAAAAAACCCACACTGTATGAAATTAACAAATAACAATTTGAATTTCTTCCTGTTTTAGTGAATTTCATATTGCCACAAAAATACAAAGATTACATAGCACCTTCATCCATTAATATTTTCAATACATGTATAGTACTTCATTTGAGCTAGTAGATGGTCATTTTGATAATAGATACATGCCAGTTGCTATATAGACTATTTTATCATGTGTCATGTGTCAGTAATTTATAATACCTTATGGAGAGATGCCTGACTTTATTTCTCCTGTCTCTTGTTACTATATTATAAAAAGTCTCAAGAAAAAAATCTTTCCTTTTTTTTAAGAGAATATGCAACTAGAAAGAATGGGTCATCATGATACAAATCCTGTACATAAGCTAGCTTGTTGGAGGCCATTCCCTATGGTGGGATGCCATGCTCAGTCTTAATGCATGGGAGAGGGGCCGGGCCCTCACCCAACCTATTGTGTCAGACTATGTTGACTCCTCATGGGAGCACTTACCCATGAGGAGGAGTGGACTGGGGGTGGGCTTGGGGGGAGATGAAGGGAGGGTGGGAGCAGGTGAAGGGAGGGTTGGAGGAGGTGTAGGGGGGAGAACTGTGGTTGGAATATAAACTGAAATTTAAAAAGAAAGAAAGAATGGGTCCAATAACTTGAATGTGGCTTCCAGATGCCCAAAATTGAATACATATTGAAATACATGGCACTAAATATAAACAAATTCACCTATGGAGGACATGTGTACTATAGTAGTAACACTGGTTATTAAACATCTAACTTCCTGGTTAAGGATATAATTTGTTCTACCATGATATATCAGCAGAAGAGTACAAACATGTTTAACTTATCTATGCAGTTATTTTGCTCATGATTTACTCATGTATTTATTATTCTGTAGCCACTTTATACATACATATGTATAGCAATTTTTGATCACTCCCAACTCATATTACACTTTCTCATGCCTCTATTCTCCTCTCTCTCCAAAAGCCACTTTCTACTTTACACATATTCTTTTAGTAAAATAACTTTTTATTTAAATTAAAAACCATCTTATTTTAGATACTAATCCCAGTTCCTTCTCCCTCCCATCCTCCCATGCACCCCACCAAACCCCCATCCCACCCCCATCTACTCCTCAGGGAGGGTGAGGCCTCCCATGAGGGACCATCAAAGTCTGACACATCATTTGGGGCAGAACTTAGGCCCCCTGTGTATCTAAGCTAAGAGAATATTCCTCCATGGGGAATGGGCCCCCAAGTACATTCACGCACTAGGGATAAATACTGGTTCCACTGTCAGAAGCCCCATAGACTGCCCAGGTCCCCCAAATGACACCCATGTTCAGGGGGCCTGGTTCAGTCCTATGCTGGTTGCCCAGCTGTCAGACTGGTGTTCATGAGGTCCCCCTTGCTCAGGTCAGCTGTTTCTGTGGGTTTCTCCAGCCTGGCCTTGACCCCTTTGCACATCACTCCTCCCTCTCTGCAACTGGATTCCAGGAGTTTGACTCAGTACTTTGCACATTTTCTTAACTTAAAATGTCTACATTTAAAACTGTAAGCACTATGCATATCTCCTAACAGAGATTATATATCTACTTTGGTGCTTGAGTAATATAATTTTGAGTGTAGCCCTCTAGAATAAGAAGAGAGAAAAAGTACCTACATTTCTCATTCTGAAATCTGTACCTTTTTATTACGTGTCCAACCAGAGTCTTGTCAAACAATGAGTAAACACTTGCCTAATATTTATGTAACTTGCTCATGCTCACTATAATTTTCCATCTTAGAAAATGTCATATTCTTTCTCAATATACAACTATTATTCTATTTATTTTGTGCATGCAGAAAGGCCAGTGTGTGGTATATTTGTATGTGTGCAATGTTGATAATATTTATATAATCATTATCTATTTTATTTCAAATGTAAATAAAGGATAGGTATCCTGATTTCTAGTTTCTTTTTTTAAGACTATGAAATAGGCAGCTCACACAAATAGGGACAGGATTATAATGAAATGGCTTAAGTACTCCCCTATGCTTTAAGAGGCTGGAAAAATTAGCAACAAATGTAAGCAGTATTATAATGCAATATGTTTTACAATATCAAAAATATTGACAATGGACACAATATATCTAAATAGCAATTAAAAATAGGATAATTATGAATTTTAGTTTTGCCCGGGCTCTAATATTGTCCCAAAAGACAAAATTAAGATACCTTGCTTTACCAAATCCTCTACTAAACAAGTTCTTCCATGTGATGCAAGGCTACATCATTGCACTGTTGTAGCCTTATCACTACATGGTAATTTACTATATAGAACAGCAAACATGAAGCAGTTAGCTAATGGAGGCTCTCAGTGTCTGCCCGGTTACCTCTGGTAGAAAGAGTAATCTTTGAGGGGAGGGATGCTGAAACAAAAGTCAAGATAGTGTGTAAGTACCTACTGTTTTATCCAGTGCTGATAGAAGCTCTTAATCACCCCAGTCAGGTCCCTTGCAGATGCTGTGATAATAGCGATGATTAATTCATTTGTGCCTAAAAAAAACATACACACACACAAAGCAAAACATAAAGTAGTTATCAAGTACAGCATGGAGGATTAGGAAGTTTTAGCATCTATGCATAATAAGACACCAAAATGGATTACCAGAGTCAAAAGGGAATGAGCAGGTAGTTATATCTAGCCCTTAGTGTTTGCAAGGTGGCGTGTGTAGCAGTCCTTTCACCATCTGACATCTCGTTGGACCTGGCAGCCTTGAAACAAGTAAGAGAAGATAGGAATGCCACTGGCAGGCTTCACAAGTCACTCCCTGGTCACAAGGTGCTATCAACATTGATGAGTTATCCTAGAAAAATCCCACAGTCTCTAGTCAAACTCACAGCATGATTGGAGGGAAGCTGCTTTCTTTTTCTCCGTCAGCAGTTTCTGAGAGGTTCTCCTCACTGTAGTCGTCTCACTTCTTAGTTACACACATGGAAGGAGACTCAGCTGGCCTCTGGTTATAAGCATAGCTGTTGCTAGAAGTTGTATTTCTCCCCCAAAGCTGCCTTACATGTGTCCTTGTCATGCTTGTAGGTTGCTTCTATGTAGGGTGAGTATAGACACCAATGACTATACCCCAGCTTTCTGCATTCCACTTCTTTGTGGTTATCCCTCGCTCAGGCATGCCAACTTTCCTGAAATAACCTATTACATATCCAGTCCTTATAGGAATGGCGTTTCCAAGAATTACTTAATAAAGTGAAATACTACAAGGATTTGTTAGACATTATGATTTTGTTGTTGTTGTTGTTATTTGAGACAGGGTTTCTCTGTGTAAGAGTCCTGGTTGTCCTGGAACTCACTCAGTAGACCAGACTGGTTATAACTCATAGAGATCCACCTAACTCTACCTCCCAAGTGCTGGGATTAAAGGCATACACCTCCACTGTCAGGCGAGACACCATGCTTTTAACTACAATAAAGGGCATGTACAAAATTTTATTTAGAAAGTCAAGAGGATAGAATCTAAGTAGGTGTATCTTGCTTGTTAAAGGAATGAAGTAATAGAACACAGAGGGAGACAGTATTTCCTAGGCTATAAGTAGGACTACCTGACAGCCATCATAGTGCACCATGAGTGTTGAGGAAGGCTCTTACAATTGGGAGGCGAGGGCATGAGTGAAAGATACCAGGAAAGCAAAGAATGTGATAGTCCCCACCTAAGCAATGAGCCTCAGGTTTGTCCTTTTAACATCTTATGTGTACTGCAAGATCTTCCTATTAAAGACATGAATTGAAACTTTCTCTAGGAGAAGCTCAAATCAATCACCCTTTCCTCTTTTGTTCTTCCCCATGTCACCTGGTCTCATATTTTCACTTTCTTCATCTTAGAAAGTCAGTAGAATAAATGATGCCTACTTTAAGAAGCATCATCAAGATTACAAGAGCTCTCTCAAGTAAAATTCAGTGAGATGGATGGGGCTTAGCATCAATAGGTGATCAGCCAATACTGTCAATTTTTTGTTTGGCCTCTGTCACTTGTAAAACAGTGTTATAGACACAGGAAAGTCTCAATAAATGCTTCAGAAAAACTAAGAAAGAGTAGTAGTGAGAATAAAAATGGTTGAAGGTCTGTTTTGATTATTCTGTTTGGCTGGCTGTGGTGACACAGAAACAGAATCTAAAACTCAGGAGGTAGAGGCAAAAGAATCAGATGTTTGAGTCACACTTGAGTTGTACAGTGAGCAGCCAAAAATATTGTGTCTTTTGAAGAAGGTTTTTAAAAAGTGGAATAAAAGGACCCCCAGAGAGGAGGAGTTATAAAAAGGCATCACCCAGAAGCTTCAGAATTCAAAGTTGTCTGTCGTAGGGGATAGACACAAAAAATCTTATCTACTCCACTAAGCTAAGAAGTGTTGGTTTGTCCTTTTCACATAACAAACTAATAAACTAATAAACTAATGCATTAAGGATAGAACTGAAGACAATCTCCATGATCTTCACAGGAAGCATGCAGGCATTTTTTTCAGCAGTTACTTTGAAAATTTTTACGGGAACCATTATGGATTCAGGCCTATCTCCATGGGTAGATAGATTATAGACAGCTCCAATGCCTTGTATCGTAAATGAAAGACTCTACAATTGAAGCCAGTTCATGTACAGGCAGCACTTGGGATAACATGATGTTTACATTGAAATGCCTGGTGGTGATAATAACTCAGCAAATCATATTGTAATTTCCAATTAACTATCAAAACAGATTAAGATTCTTAACACTAGACTTTATTAATCCTTTTTTAAAACTTTGCTGACTGTGTTAAAATCTATTGATGGTTTAGCTTTAAAAACAAGATAATTGATGCAGAACTCACTCTTTACTATCCAATAAATTAACGCAGAGCCAGGCCTAGAACCTGTTTTAGTGCAAACATGTATTTTCTTTTTTCATATCATATTTTCCCACTATTATTCCCACATTATCTGTGTGTACATATTTCCCCCTTCATACAGTCACATCATTTGAAGGTAGGGTTTACATTATTAAGATATATCAATTCTGTAAATCAGACAACCACATACAAATCAGCAAACTTAGTGTCACCACACTTTCTTCAATATCCTAGACACTGACATTCCTTAGGATGTGCAGAACAAACAACTACGCATTCCTCTCATCAATGCCCTGTCGTCTCATACCCCCATAGAGGAACACAAACGTATGCACATTCTTTACATTAGTTTATCCATTTTCATTAACATTCAAAACTGGAAATGGGACTCTTTAACTGCTTTTCTAATGCCACAATGTGCTAAACAATTGACCAAGAAAGAAGGGGTTCAGAGGTAAAATGAATAACACTTTGTTTACAAAACAAGTAAGCACATTAGATCTCATGCAAAAAATTATGCCCTGTCCAGAAAAACATACTGCCTCACAGCAATAACCTGACAGTCACAAGAAACATGTGAAATCAATTCCTAAATTGAATAGGTCAAATGTGAAGACCTATAGAAGACTGCCACAGATTTGGAATACACACCCACAATAAATTTTAAAGCAGTTAAGCAATCACAAGGCATGACCAAAGGCAGTGATTTCACTGATCCATAATCCTCATGTTACTCTTTTCCATTTATTCAGCTGCAGATTTTGTAACTATTTTGCTGTGCATAAGCATTTCAAGCTGCAAGCTTAACTGAGCATATTGCTTCTGTGTGCTGAAGAAAATCTGTCAAGGAAAAGGCAGGTGAGACTCAATTTTCCCAGTGTGATTGCAAGGCAATAATACAGTATTTTGGAAAGTGTACAGAGTAGCTGGACCCAGTTTTACAAAGTGTCTGTTCATTTAAGCAGTGATCCACATTTACAAAAGAGAAGTGCTCTCACTCATACTGTTTTAACAGATTGAGAAATGAGGAAGCATACTATTTTGTTTATTTTTATAACCCTAGTTAGCCACAAAGGAGCATGACTTAAAACTCCAGCAATGGTTAGTTATGATTTATAACAGTGTTCAGAAATTGATATTCCAGGGTTCTTCCTCTATTTCTTCTTAGATAGAAAATGTCAACATGAAATTAAGTATAATGTGAGCAGGAGAAAATGATCCAGACTAATTTACACTGAGAGAAGAGATCTAAAATCTTGTGCATGTATTGTGTTGTATTGTTCTAGCCTCTGAGCTCAGAGCTGACAAGATGGCTACAACAATGAACTCCTAAACTAAAGTATGTCAGAGTCCGGTTATTTCTCTAATACACTCATAGACTGTCCTTTGTGCCTGAGACAGGCAACCCCCAACCTTATTGTTGATGCAACAATTTATTCAAAGGCACAAAATTTGCTCAGTTGTCTCCTTTCATGGTTTTTGTTTCTTCATGGAGGATCCTATTTTCCCTCCAACTCTTGAGTATCATAACGCATAGAGCTCAACAGGAGGTCATAAAACAAGTACATACAAAAGTAAAATTTGTCCCTAAGCTCTATTTAGAGGAACTTTAAGTAGAGTTTTTCTAGGCCTTTCCCTTATATTTGTATTAACTTTCATATAGAATCACATATTTTGTTCTAGTTTCTAACAGAGCCTTAAAGATATAATATAGGAACTTTGCTCTTAAACCCTAGTATGTCATAGCTTAGGTACAACCAAGCCAAACTTTATGAAATTTCTATTGTCCATGACATAATCTGTTTTTCATATCATACCAGCTTCACTGAAGGCAGTATTTTCAACAAAATTAAAAACAAATATTAAATACTTAAAAAGCAGTGCATTAAATCTTTTTCTGACAAAGGGCATCATATATCTCATTTGTATGGTCATATGTGTGGCTTATCTTCCCCACTCAAATTTGCTTCATTGAGATAAGAGTTTTTATATGCCTCCTTTTGTTACTCATTTTACCCAGGAAAAATAAATATACCATCAAGTTTGATTGAAATAATGCTTATAATATAAGCCCCCATTTTATTCATTGGTTCCCGTTTATATAGGTGGTATCAACCTTTCTCAAGTTTAATAAGCATATATAGAATGTTTTGAAATTGTTTATACATTTAGACTCTCTATTATAAATCTTTTTGTTCTCCAAGTTAAAAGGCTCCAACAATATAGTAAATCTTGGCTTTTTCATATGTGGAAACAACAGAGTAATGGAAAAGAACTCTAACCTGCAAAAGAGCTTGGTTTGAATTCAAAGTGCACACAATTTTCAAATGTCAGTCAGACTTTAATAAGGTGATTTTTCGGAAAGGCCGAAAAACCAAGACAACTGGTATAATTTAAGCAAGTTGTTTTCACTTCTTTAACATAAATTTCTTCATTTCTAAAATAAAAGGTGTAAAAATGCACACCCAAATACTTGGGTGTAAAACTGTAATATAGTTTCCCTAATGCTTTAGTATATTGTACTGCACAATAAGGAAGGGTCATAATAAGTTTTGATGATTAAGTATTGATAATAAAATTTAGGGCCAGTAGTAGATAAGCTCCAATGGCTTCCTAAATCCAGATTCTGGGTAGCTGCTTTAATATTTAATAATTTAACTTAAGATTGTTATTAGGAACATATGTTACCATGGAATTTTGTATGAGAACAATCAAAGTTTGGAAATAGTGTGAACCTAGTGAAATTTTGCCTTGCTTTGAAGCCAGAATCATTAGGATCTGGGAAGTTACAGATGCTTCCCAAACCCTAAGCTTCTTTGGCAAAGCTCTGAATGTTTTCCCTTTGTTAAAGAAGCATATAGATCCCTAGAGCTGAGGGAAGAGACAATGAGCAATGACTTGGCAATCTTCATAAACACCAGGAAGTTAGTACAGTTAGGATTGAAATTGATCAAATAAAACCTCATTTACTTC